TATTGCAGAACCCCGAATGGTTTCTTTGCGGGGCCTTCAGTCGAAAATAGGTATGCAGGAGGACCGCCATAAGATATTCTACAGCCTTTGTGTTAAGGCAAATAAAGATTCTTGTAGTTCTTCTAATAAAACTTCTAATAAAACTTGTAGTTCTTCTAATAAAACTTGGAGTGAGGCGGGAGCCTCACCCCAAGTTGGCTTCTCTGCGATGCTAAAGCGTTGCGGTGAAGACACACGGAGGTGGTAAACATGTTGCGTCACCACGCGGCTGATGATACGAAATCAGATTTTGTTGTTTCTTTTTTTTCTTTCGGCACAGAATGCTCAATATACGTTGCTTCCTTCTGGGCGGCCAATCTTTAACGCCTGGCGCGGTCGCGTTGCATCACTGAATCCAATAAAGTTGCTTCACTCGGCGGCTTGTGTATAGAGACCACATTACTGAGAACATTCCATTCAGCGAGACACCGACCTCGGTCACTCTATTAGCGTGCTATTAGGGCAACGTGCTTCCGTTCACACTATATTTTCTTTCCCGGCACCTAATGTAGTTCTATCACGTCTTAGAGAGAGAGAGAGACGTACTACTTTTTAGGAGAAACAAAGCACAAACACATATTATATATTTTGCCGCCGCTTAACCTACTACCTCGTAGTTCGTCTATTCTTTATTAGCCGCGTGGCCTCAATTAATCGGCGATAAGTTTTCCAGTGACCGCGTTTCTCTCTTTTCTGGCAAGGTCGGTAATAAATCAGAGGTGGCTTTTCGTATGCTGACCAGAATGGAACTGATCCAACAAATTAGAAGGCTCTTTTTATTACCACGTCATTAAAACACTGTGCGTCCGCACTCCACCGACGAGTAAAATTCTGTCAAGAACAGGTCAGTCGGCTATCCCGCGCAACACGCCCCGCCCCGGTGGTCTAGTGGCTAAGGTACTCCGCTGCTAACCCGCAGGTCGCGGGATCGAATCCCGGCTGCGGCAGCTGCATTTCCGGTGGAGGCGGAAATGCTGTAGGCCCGTGAGCTCAGATTTGGGTGCACGTTAAAGAACCCCAGGTGGTCGAAATTTCCGGAGCCCTCCACTATGGCGTCTCTCATAATCATATGGTGGTTTTGGGCCGTTAAACCCCACATATCAATCGACTATCAACAACACAGTGCGCTAGGCTTTACATCATGTGAATTGCGCAACGAGTCGGTTGTTTAAAGGCCCGCACATTACAAAGTTTTCAGCAGGCATAATCAATCATCCTCATCATCGACAACAGTATTATAGTGCGCAACTGCGCAGATGTGCGTGTAAATTTACGGACGCTTTGTGGTATACTTCGCCAATACGCAACAGAATTAATTATGGCGTTACGGGCTCCGTGACCACTTCCTTAACTTGGGGTAGGCCGGAACTAGTATGGGAGGGTAAGAATGTTTAACGATTTTGACGGTCTGTTCATGACATGAATAACGTGAAAATCCCGTAGCTTATACGAGTGGCTGTACACTTAATGATGCCGTATGCCACACAAGACTGCCGTTCTGCGCGGTGACATTATGTGTGTGCGTGTAAGCTTCCCCTCTCTTACTCTATTTCTTTACTTTTCTTTCAATCTTTCCTTCCCCTTGTGCAGGGTAGCATACCGGTTATGTCAAACGGGTTAAGATCCCCGCCTTTCCTCTCTTTCGTCTTCCCTTCCTTACTCCCGTCGGGTATATCAAAGCCTTTCTTCAAAATTCGTGTGGCACATACCCGCATACTACGGGTCGCGGTACGGAGATATGCATCACTGGTGTTCATCTATACCGAGCAACGTCGAGAACAGACATTTGTAACTTAAATGCGAAAGCGTTAAGAAAAACCGCGACATAGGCAGCGACATAGGCAGCATTCACCCGACAGATGCAAAGAATACATGTCACGGTCACAGCCGGAATCGAACCCGAGCATTCTGCGTGGCAATGAAGTATTCAACTACAGAGCCACACGTCAGGTCCCTGAACTGCTTTGTAAAAACGAACCTATGCAGGCGTAATGCTGATGACACGTCGATTGTGGTTGCAGTGCTGCCCATCAATTTTTTTAAACAATACTTATGAACTCCATTGATAAATACGTCACGTCCGGTTAGCGTCAAGTGTAGGTAAGCGTTATGCACTGAAGTTGGTCTACGTGGCCCAATGCAGTGCTACCATTCTCGCAAACACAAGCGGTATAAATTTCAACTTACCACATTTGGTACCGGTAATACTCGTGTTCCTCTTGGTACCATTGCGCAACTGTAAACAAATGGTTACATAAAACATATGCGATACTACAACACAAATGTTTAGGCGTACAAAATCTGTACATATGTTTATCGTTGTTTCGTAACGTTTCGCTCAACGAAAAAATTACACCACTGTCACCTACCCTCCGCGTGGTTCGTATGACATCAACTCCCATGGTAGGTGAGATGTGTCGATGTTTTTTTTTTTTTTTAGTGTCAAGTAGTTATGCTAACTCCTCCGCACGTGAGCGCGAAGAAAATCGCATCAGACGCCACGCATGAAAAACGTTCACAACGTGTTTCGCGCCAGTTCTGGTGCTTGATGCTTTGCAGAAAAGCCACCTTCGGATTTAAATGACCAGTGTCGACATCGTACAATCTCTTACAACTGCACACAAACCACGAAAGACGGCAGAGGTGAGGTCACTCTGTTAACTTTCAGAGGTATCTCAGTGCCAAATATCTCCGCACTTTATCTTTCCCACTTTAACTTGTCAAAAAAAATATTAAAAACAACGGCATCGCATTTTCGCAGATATTTTCTTTCTTTTGCAGCTAAGCACACACCGTCAAAAGATTAGGTTGCATTTCCCTTTAATAACTGTGCACATTACAGGCGGTTAGTCTAGAATCAGATATACCCAGATGAATAACATCTTTTTAAAAAGCAAAAGAAAAAATTGGGGGGGGGGGAGGGGGATGCAGTTGGTGGGATGTGTTGGGGATGCAGATCAGTCTAATTGGAAGAGCTGAATGTGGTACAATATTTTTTTTCTTACAATCGCATTTATGCATCATAATCTATGCATAGTGTAACGCTCAACTCAATATTGTTCTTGTTGTTTTACTTTTTTCCTGCCTGAACGTCAACCAAGCACGTTCAGTGTTAACATTCACGTCACGTGCCAATAATAATAATAATAATAATAATAATAATAATAATAATAATAATAATGTGTGGCTTACCATCCCAAAACTACCATATGATTACGAGAGCCGCCATAGTGGAGGGCTCCGGAAATTTCGACCACCTGGGGTTCCTTAAAGGGTCCCCGAAACAGTTTTTTCACATTCCGTTTTTGCTTAGACGACTACTGGATCATCTCATTGGCACCAGAAGTTCAATCGAAACACCCATTATAAACCGAGCTACGAGTACTAAACAAGTACCCTCCTCCTTCGCTGCGCCTTTCACCCTCAACTGCCCTAATCAACTCTTCCTTCGAGCGCTCAGAGCTAAGCTCCGCCTTCTCGGCGCTGCGTCACATGTGGTGTGAGACCGCATACGCGTAAATCCCGCCGCCGATCCGATACCGGTAGCCTGTGCTGCGTGTTCCACAGCCAATCAGATCAGCAGGAAACGATGACGTCAGTGGGGCAAAGCGTGTCGCTTGGTGTGTGGGTGGTCGAAAACGCGTTTGGCCGAGTCGCAGCGATCTGCACCGATCTGGAGCGATTCGCAGCCCTAAAGCGTTGTAATAAATTACACAGTTTACGCAGAGAGCTAAAATCGGTCTCTAAATTACCTTAGAAGTGTGGCAGCTTGGGCCAGTTGGTATGGCATGACGATAGTTATAGCGCGAGAACAAAACGACGACACAGAGACAAGAAGGACACGAAAGACACCAGCGCTCGTGTCTTTTGTGTCCTTCTTGTCTCTGTGTCGTCGTTTTGTTCTCGCGCTACAACTATCGTCTAAATTACCCTTGAGACTTTGTCTACCAGTCCAATGTGTTTATAAACAATCGTCGAAACCATATAAGGGTCCCTTTAACGTGCACCGAAATCTGAGCACACGGGCCTACAGCATTTTCGCCTCCACCGAAAATGCCGCCGCTGCAGCCGGGATTTGATACCGCGACCTGCGGGTCAGCAACCGAGTGACTTAGCCACTAACCATCGCGGCGGGGCACGTGCCAAGGAAGCAAGGAGTATACGAGATCAATTAAGGCAAAGAAAAAAACGAAAAATACTGCGGCTCAGTTGCACTCACACCATATTCTCGAGAAAGCAGGAAAAAAGTTACTATCGCAGCAATACTGCAGAAGACGTTGAGGACAGCGTCTCATCGAGAAGGGGGAAGTGCATGATCAGCGACCCGAAGGGGCTGCGCGCGATGCAACGGAAATTGAGCATAGCAAGAAACACGCGAAACTATAAGGCAAAGAACTAAATAAAGGATATGAAACAATAGAGAGGGGGGGGGGGGGGGGGTCCCGAAGGCGCGCGAAGCACGGATAGCGGGTAAAATGAAGCGGTAGGGCGTGCTTTTTCTATGGAGGGAGCAGCGGAATACAAGAAAAAAAAAAAGAGGATGCAACCCAGGCCGCTCAAGGTTGAAAAGTCGGGCGTTGTTCCGCGTGATCCACACTAGGCGAGCACAAACTGCAGAAAGATAGAGAGGAGAAAAGAAATGAGGGGAAGGCAGCGTTCGGAGGGAGAGACGAGCAGGAGGAGAGAGGAAGAGCGGTAAGGGAAGCCGAGGAGCGCCTGCTGGCCTGAAGAGGAAGATGAAGAACGGGGGGCCCTGCCGAGGCGATACAAGGGAGAGTGCGCGAAGGAGGAAGGATGCCGAGGAGGAGAAGCCAGCCGGTTTCTTCCCCGGCAGGCTAGATAGCAGAGGGGATCAGAGCTTCGTCCCCTCAGGAGTACCAACTTCCAGGAGGACGAAGCCGAGCAAGAAGGGAGGGTTCTCCCTCTCCACCAGACCGTATTCTTCCTCTCCTCACCGGTGGCCGCCCGCTGCAAGCTTGCGCGCTCCACACGGCCTGCAAACCGGCGGCTGCTGTCGCGGCGAACGAGCTGATTGTGCTGCACCCGCAGTCGTCCGCTACTCGCGGCGGAGGCATTTTTTTCCTGCTGGCACCAACGTGTGCTTCCCAAAAGCGGCCACAGCGCGCAGATACTCCAGAGAGTGATCGGCTGGATTACACACACCTCCTCCGTCCCGCGGCTGGAACGCTGTCAGCGGTCTTGTGAAACCCACTGTGCTCTTGAGATTTATATCCCGTTTTTTTTTCTTGATTCAACGTGATTTCCTGGATTCGCGGGTGCTTCTGGCCCCGTGTTTGTTGCTCGGTGCTGGTGCTTTTTTTTATTGTGACTTGAGGAGGCTGGAAAGCCCGCATCAGTCGTCAAGCGCCGGCGTGCCCTAAGGAGAGGATTGTGTGCGCGGCTCCCCGGAAAAGGTAAGAAAGCAATCACGCCCTTCTTACTTCGTTTGCGAGCAAGATGCGAAGGCGTGTTTCGGGTGGAGACGGGCGGTCGTCGTTCGTTCGCCTCCCTCACGTGGTGGACGCGGCGCCCCGGGAACAGCGGGGGGCACCGACCCGCCCGGCATCGTCTTGCCACTCGCGGGCGCACGTCTCGGCCCGGATCTTGCGCAGCTGCTGTCACCGTCCCGGACAGCTGCCAACTAAATGTGGCCACTGCCGGTGCCACTGCCAAGCATCACTAAGCAAAGCGCAAAAAAGCGATAGGAGCAATCTTCTTTCGAGATAGAAAGGCTACTTTTTTTTTACAACTTGAGAGACTATAACGGCAGACTCCTGACCCCTCCGGCTTGCGGACACAGGAGCTGGAAGACTCCAACCTAGCATGCTACGCAGTTGAACAGATACGGACTATCAAAACGTTTCATTTCTCTGCCTGCATTCCTCGTCCCAGATCCTTACTGTAAGTTTAGAGGGATATAGCAACATTACGAAAGGCGCACTCGAAACCCGGATGCTTGCGGTGACTGGTAACTTGCTATCATTGAAAACAATTCATAAACTGTTCCTCCTTCACATTCTATTAAAACGATGAAGCCCAGTTACTAATATCAGATATAAGGTATGAAGATGTATGCCGCCTCGTACTTATATCTAAGCGTGTGCGTTCTCTTCGAACTTGAGCAGTAACCAACCAATTCACGGCCCGTGCTGCAGGTTTTTACAACTTACAAGCAAAGTGAATATCCCTTCCAACTTGCATATATTATGTAACTCATCGCCGTCGTCAAGCATGTGCGGCGTGCCTTGTTTATGTTTACATCTGTTACGTCCCGGGATGACGTCACGACGACGCAACGACGACAGGACCACCGCGTTTTATCTCGAGCCTGTCAGAACGCGAGACGACAAACTCCCTTGCCCACCACGATCGTCATTGGCTTGGCCCTTGAGGTCATGTGATCACGTTGCCCTTATCTTATCCAATGAAGGCGCAGAGTTCAAAAAGAAAGGAAGAACGCCGCGACTTCGACGGCTAGAACGTGCAAATATTTGGCGTACGGCGTTTTTGTTCGCGTCTGAATTCGTCGGACAATTAAGCATTGTGCGCCGAAATCTGCGGCCAGCCCCGATCATTTGGCACAAATAAGTGCGACATTTCGATATCGAAGCTGTGCCTTCGTTTTCGCGGCGTTTGCCTACTCAGGTCGCGTGCCAAAGTTGGCAAAGCTTCGGTTGCACACGGTGCCAAGATTTGATTTTCGCAGCAATCCAAACATATCGGTTGTGGCAGCTAGTGCGTGAGACCTTTGGCTTCACCGCAATGTAGGTATATGATGATCAATCAAATTGTGGGTGCTTGCAAACAAGCTTGTGCGGCGGCTTCTTGCCAAAAAGACGCGATGGTGGTAAACGTGACTGCATGGTGATTAAGGCATGGCAAAAAAAAAAATGATGGCGCACTTCGAGACCTACCTGACGTCCTCTTAACCGCACGTTCTACAACAGAGATCATCTGGTGTTGCGATCTTTCACTGTACATAATTGGTTCGATCTTCGTTCCATTGGCTTCAGTCGTCCCATCGAAGCTATTTACTAAACTTTCTTTTTCTGTGCAAGTTTCCGCGCGGATTTGCAAACGCTGCAAGCCTAGATCCCCTTCAGATCATTGCGCTCACGAACCAGTATTTTGCTTTCAATAACTGAAGCCACAAGAACGAACTTTACTGAGTATATCCTTGCTATTTCCGGCCTTACTTGCTAGCACCAGTAGACAACAATACAGCCAGGGTACCTTCTAATGGCTTTAGCAGGAAGCACGACCATAAGGCTGTATCCCCACGACCAACGTGACCGCGGACGAATGTCACGTGACTCGGATCACTCCGTAACAATCCGCGGGCTCGTACTGCGATTTGGTCCGCCGTGTGAACCCATCTTTAAAGCGCGAAAGCAATCCCGGAAAGGTGGACTACCGAGGAATATCATGGTCCCATACTATACATGGTCCCAGACACGCTATACTGGGCTTCGGGAAAGGCACAGCACAGTCCGCACGATCAGCCGGTCGCCAATAAAAGTCCGGCAAGGCACGCGCAAGGACTTTCGCCCGCAGCCGCCACGACGATGCCGTGTGTGCCGACCGTGGAGACGCCCAGCCGAGCGGTAATGCATGCAAGAAAAGAAAGCAGAGAGAGGAGGCGAACCTGCGCGGGGCGATCACGCCACTCTTTCCGCGAAAGCGGTTTCGTGCCTCTACCGGTGCTCTGAAGCGAGGCAGTCAGTCTTCACGACGTCGGCTGAAAGGACCAGCTGGCCTGTGTGCTGCCCCTTCAGGCGCCGCCGCTGATCTACCCCACGGTCTTTGTGACGAGTTCGCATATTCTCCCACCCCCGCCCAGCGCGCCTCTCCCCCTACTCGCTCATGCTCCACAGATGGCTGGCTGCTACACCTGGACCCATCGGTGCTGTGCAGCGGAACGAAGGCTACAGAGGACGCATTCAGTCACCAGTAGAGAGAAACGCACACACACACACACACACACACACACACACACACACACACACACACACACACACACACACACACACACACACACACACACACACACACACACACACACACACACACACAAAAGCCAGTTCCACGCCCTTCTTGATTAGGCATCATAATCACTTCAATCGTTTCTTTACTCACTCCCCATCTCGTCACTTGACCTGCTACTACTACTACTACTACTACTACTACTACTACTACTACTACTACTACTACGACGACGATGACACAGAGTATAGTGCCGGAGCGTCGCGCTGTAAAAGGCAGTTTTCTGTCCGAAGTTCACCTACTCGGACAGCACGGCATGGTGCCGTGTAAATGAGCGCACCATTATAGAGTAATCAAAGCAACTTAACATTGTAAAAATTGCAATGTTTTTCAGTTATGGTGCGGTACAAAGTCGTGTACTGTCAACACACGTCCAATACGCACGAGTTTCTAGCGCTGTTTTGATTTTCACGTGCTGATTGAGTATATGCCAGCTAGCAAGTTATAGTGTGTCCTGCTTTCAAAGCATTCGATGGCTACTTTTCGCATTGAAAGCTCACTGTAGATAAACCGCTATCAAACGTGTCTGTATTGCATGTGGGAGTAGCTTAAGAGTCTAATGTCATTAACAGTATCGCCGTCAATGTTTCGCATCATCATCTCCGTTTCGTCTTATTTATTCACTCTCCCCTCTGATCACGTGACCGGCGTGACGCCAGCTACTACCAAGACGCCAGCACGAGATGGACTAAGACATGTTCACAGTAAAAAAAGAAAAAAAAACTCACCTTACAGAATAATTTTTGTTCAAATAAAACTATCGCCCATTCTCATGACGGGTACACTAGCAAAGCGGTCCGACCAATGTCGAAGATCACTGACAAAGAGAATACACTTTGTGAATTTGGCCTTGCCCTGCATTGGTGAGACCGAACGTTCTTTCGATGCTGGCAAATGAATCATTGTGATGTTTCTTTTCGAGATCTGCATGGCACGTCGCATGCGAGCGCGCGCATAGCCAGAACGCGCGCGTCGTTTCCGGGAATCGTCGGCGAGGCGCGCTGCAAGCCGCCGCTATTCATCCCGTCCCACCTCGTCGATTGCAGCTGCGAAGCCGTCGAATGCTAATGCAAACGGCGTCGCCGCCTCCACCGCTAAAGACACATCGACGAAGTTGGCTCGGTCGGACGCCTTCCAGCGCTCAAAAAGAAAAGCGTGCGCGGCTCATTCCGCGACTGTATAGACGATTTCACGTAAGCCACATGGGCACCGCAGTCTCGACTGTTGAACGAGTGTTTTCCTCATTTTGCGAACCGCGACGTGAACTACAGTAGAGTCATGAAACGTAGAACACACCAACCCAACAGTTTTCATACGTATGCGTCTGTCGTAGCGCTGTTCCTTTAGTTGTAAAAATTACAACAAAACAGCGAGGATAAATCCTTATATGGAGGCACCGAAACCAATCCGTTTGTACACTCCTCTAAATGCGACACATTGTAGGGCGGATTGCAAGCAAGTGTTTCAGCAGAGGTATTTCACGGGCTCAAATAAGCGCTCACCATACACAGGACTGAAAGCGGAAAAAAAAATGCTATAGTGTACCACAGTGTACAGTACTATCGTACAATGTTATGATCAAGCGGTAATGTGAACTAGAAGATTCATAAACGTTCAAAGAAAACCACGCTCAAAGGAAACCACGTTCAAAGTAAACAACCAGTAAAGCCCTGTATTGATACCAGCACAATATCAACGTTAGCAACCACTGGTTTATAGTAATTAAGTATTGTCTAACATATTGGCTAATGGTTGGCTACAGTTCGGTTTGAGCTGGATACTGTTGCCGGTGCATGACATGAGCACTTGGCGTTTCGCACACGCGGCAGTTTCTCCGCGAAAAAAAAAAATCGACCTTGTCGTTTAATTGCTGAATCGATATCATTTATCTTTACCCATCGATTATTGTGATTTCCGCGAATTCATCGTATAATGAATACGTGCTCACAAGACAAAAGAAAAGGGTAGCCCCGCGGTCTGCGATAGGTTCTTGAGCCAGAAGGACCAGATGTGCTAACAGATAGCCATATATAGGGCACTTATTTAAGTAGAATATTCCTTTGTATACCGATCTGACGGCATTATTATTGCCCGCACGTAGCGCCTACATAGCTTATTTGCCAGGAACGCTGGCAGCCTTCCAGTACACGCTATACTAAACCAGCGGTGCACCGTATGTGAACACAGGTGTGCAGCGCCTGTTAGCGATTCAACCAGCATGCAAATCGCTGCTCAGAGTTTCATCTGCGTACAACGATCGCAGAAACGGCCCGAACAAAGCTGTATGAGTGAGGGACAACTTTGAATTGTGACAGTGCCTGGATAATTGTGCACACTGTTCAAGGAAAACGGAGCCGTTATGACCAGCAAG